CTTCTATGTTTATGCAAATGCTGCCTTTTTGAAATTTGGCATGCTTGTTTGTCTTTGTGTCTATGGTGTAATAATAATGATGCGATTGTGATGCTGTAATTCTGAGTGTTTTATGTGCTGCAGAACAGGAACCTGCTGTAAAACAGCAATTATGCTGAGTCAGGCTTGATTTTTAATAATCTTTTCTTGTTAAAAAAAGTCTGATCCGGTTCCTGAAGGTTCTGGAGGAGAACGGTTCTGACAGACAAACAGACCAAGCTGAAGAAGCACATCAGCTGATTTCTCTTCTCAAAGCTGCAGATTTAGAAGAAAACCTCAAAAGCTGGGCTTCCTGCTGCAGGTCTGTTCATCTCAGACCACCGACGGGGGAGTCCACATCAAAGCCCCGCCCCCATCCTGCCTGATGAGAAGACATCTTTACCGTCAGCTGTGGGAGTTTTGTCTCAGTCAGACCAGAAGCTGGTCCTTCAGAAGCTGCAGGCGGGGAAGTCATCACTTCCTGCTTCACCTGAAGAGACTTTCCTGGAAGTTAGTTTTTGATTTATGGGACTTTCTGAGCTTCTTCTGTAGAAGTTTGTGGTTTCTGAGTCACAGCAGTTCTCACAGCAGAACCTCAGAGAGCCTCACAGCTTTGAGTCTTCAGCAGGGTTCTCTGAGGTCCAGAATCTGCTGAGGTCCAGAACCTGCAGGACTAAAAACTGTTTGCTGTTATAAACTGTTCTGCAGCAGGTTAGATGTTGACATGTTCTCCTGCAAAAACACGTCTGAGGTTTACGTTCGTTCGTTTGGAATCAGTTTAAGTCACGCGCTGCCAGCCCACAGTTGTGTAATCGTTAGTTACTTAAATTTTATCTTGTTCTTTAAATTAATTATTTTAATTTTAACATGGCTTTATATTTTGCTCCGTCTGATGATGTCATTTTAAACATTAAATAGTTGATGTCATCACTTACTCAGTACTTGAGTAGCTTTATTAACAAATACTTTTTTACTCTCAGCTGAATGGTTTCGTGGGTACTTTTTACTTTAACTCAAAGTTAAAGTAGTGTTTCCTGGGTACAGGTTTTGGGTTTGGGGTACTGTACCGCCTCAGGTGCACACCCAACAGTACAGATCCACTCAGAGTCCAGTCAGATCTGGACAGGAAGTTCTGTTTTTTCACTGCTTTGAGGAGGTACACTTCGCTGCAGCATGCAGCTCGGGGCGGTGACAGACCTTTCCGTCAGTCATACCTTATATGGAAATGGGACTATTGCATTCCGGAAATGAAGGGGGCGCTAGTGACACTATTTTCTATTGAACACTATCAACATTAACAATATAAATTTTACAGTAAGGAATTTCTTCCTTTTTCTCTTTTATGCAAGTTTGTTTGTTTGTTTGAAATACGTACGCTTGTTTGTTTGTAGTATGTTTC